AACATTTTGGTTGCTAAGCAAGAGCGTTGTTAAGTGAGTTTCACCACATTTTACAAGTTGGCCATGCCTACCCGGTCACATGGCCGGCAAGCCACTCCCACAAAGCAGGCCACACCTACAGAAGAGGTTCTTAAAAATTTTGAAACCCACCACTGCCTCAGCCCCAGTGTGCACGCCAGCCAGCTGATTTTCAGCCTTCCAGAGGGACGGGGAAGGCCGTTTTTGCCCTCCCTAGGCTTCAAGAAAGCCTCCGGAGCGTGGAAAAGGTGAAAAACAGTCCCAACGCCCCAACTGGAACCCGTTGGGCTTGTTTTTCACCCTCCCCTGGCTCCAGAGGCTTTCCTGAAGTTTGGGGAGGGCGAAAACGACCTCCCCCGGCCCCCTGGAGGCCCTCCGGAAGGCGGAACAGATCATTTCCAACTTCCAGTTGGCCCATTGGGCTAGTTTTCCACCCTCCAAAGGCTTCAGGAAAGCCTCTGGAGCCTGGAGAGGGTGAAACCCCCTCACATGCCCATGCGCAGGTGGGTGGGTGGGGCACATTCCATTGTGGGTATGGGCGCAATTTTGGCACGCCTTTACAAAAAGGTTAGCCATCACTAAACTAGGAGATTTTTTTTTAAAAAGGACTGAGAAAAGACTAGACATCATAGATTTACCAGCATCCCATGTTAATTTTTTCCCCCTGCTTATTAGTACTACTTATAATAGGAATGTGTTCACATATTGCGATGACCAAATTTGCACAACACGCTAACTCAAAATGAAACAGAAACATGACTTGGGAGGGGAAGTTTCCAGACTAAGGAAAAATCTAATTTGATAGTTTTCTTTCCATTCCCCCCACCCCACCTCAAACAATCAGTAATCTATAGTCATTCTTTACCATGGAAAACAATCAGATCTTGCATCTTAAAAGAACTATTTGAAACAAAGAAAGGGCTTGTCCATCCTGCTGTGCCATAATTTGCTTAATATTGTTGACTGGCTGAATTTGTTTATCCACCAAGCCAGAAACTGTGGTTTTCAAATCGCATTAGTGAGGTTTCCATGACCAGCTTAATATTCTGACATACTGTCATGTGTAAAATGATGTGGGTTGGTAGTTATATATTATAATAGGTCATGATTAAAAACCAAAACCAAAACTTCATTTTGGTGATAACTAGAAAGGGCCATAAGGTGGCCTCTTGTATCTGCAATGAAAGCTAACTTAAAACTGTTAAAATTTACTCCTTGAATTGAACTGTTTGTATTTATTCCAACAAAAACTCCTGCTTTAAAATCTATCTTATTAAAATCTTATCATCAACATCATTCACACAGACTGGTCCTTATGATCCCATCCTTTGAGACCATAGGATTAGTTACGTGTTTTGCCTCCGGAGCAAGCAAAAGGAGAAGAAGGTTGATGGAATTGTGAAACCAAGTATAGAAATACATTTCAGCAGTACAGGAAATAATGTAGGGCAGAGGTCCACAACCTCGGGCTGTAGCTGACTATCGGGCTCTGACCCATTTGGAACCAGCCCACAGAAACAGTTTGAAGACTTGTGTGAGCACTGGGCGAGCACTCGAAGCTACATTTGCTAGTGCAGAAGGTGTACGTGCTCGCTGCTTGTGAAAATGAAGCTGTGCACACATGCGTTTGCTCACTGCTCACACAGAACCACCCCGTCTCCCCCACACGATCTGCAAAACTGGAAAGGTTGGGGAACGCTGATGTAGAATGACTAAATTTCAGCGTCCCCTTATTCATGTTTTTCTGTCTTTCTTTTTTTTCCAGGCCTTCATACTTCCCAGGAAAAAAAAAAGGCCAGGTTGAAACCTTTGATTTTATTTATTTATTTATTTATTTATTTATTTATTTATTTATTTATTTATTTATTTATTTATNTTTTTTTTTTAGCCTTAGCCCGTGGGCATTGGCGCGTGGTGGATCCGCTACTTACCGTGCGTTGTGCCACGCAGGCGGAGCAAACCCCTCGCGAAAGCGGGCAATTTCTTAGTGGAAAGCTCAGAAAGGGCGTTCAAGAGAACCCAGCGTGGAGCTTAAAGCCTCTTGCTAAGGCCCCTCCTTTGGAATTGCGGCGAGGCCAATCAGCGGCCTTCCGAACGACTCGGCTTGGCCCTATTGGTCGCTCCGCACGGAGGAACCCAGGAAGGAAAAGGAGGCGTGGATGAAGGGAGGGAGAGCGAAAACAGAAACTGAGATTCAACCACCGAAGGGGGTTTGTAATGATAGCTTTGCCTCTTTCAAAGCGAGGCTCTCCTTTGAAGGGAAAGGGGGTCACCTGCGCTAGCTAGGATTTTCTTCTTGGACCGCTTGCGGTTGAATTAATAATAGGCCAGAAAAATGTAGAAATTGCCAAAAGCGTTTCAGTCCTATAATTGGTTTAAGCTTACATTATAATGTTTTGCGTGCAGACACACACACGCGCACGGACAGGCGAAAGATGCTAAACTCTGTCCAGAAAGAAAACATGCTAAAAAAGAGAAGCATCAGCTTTGTAAATGTGTGTTGATTCGTCTCCTCTGCTATATTAAATAGCTATAAAGGTAAAGCTTCCCCTTGTACATATCTGCTATTCGTTCCAGACTCTAGGGGGCGGTGCTCATCTCCATTTCAAAGCTGAAGAGCCAGTGCTGTCCAAAGACGTGGCCAGCCTGACTAAACGCACCAAACACTGTTACCTTCCCACCAAAAGTGGTTCCTATTTTTCTGCTTGCATTTTACATGCTTTTGAACTGCTAGTTTGGCAGAAGGTGGGACAAGTAATGGGAGCTCACTTCATTATGGGGCACTAGGAATTTGAACCACCGAACTGCCAACCTTTCTGATCGACAAGCTCAGCGTCTTAGCCACTGTATCCCTTATTAAAATAGTTTAATAGCTATAGAATATGCTAATTCTTCGGAAAATCAGAGAAAACAAGTGAAAAATTAAGACTCAGAATACAGCTTGGGGTTTGCTTGATTTTGATCTCCTGGACCTTTTGAAAACTGAAGGATTTGCCTGTGTTTATGCAAACGTCTCTATTCTTTTGTTCCTCCAGTGTTTTTCAACATATAATGCCATATCTTAACCGTTGTATGTTTATTTTAAGCAGGGGTCCCCAACCTTTCGGACCTCTGGGACCACTAAATTCATAATTTTAAATCCCACAGACTACTAAAATGAATTTTTTAAAAAGGTAAATTGTATTTAGTGCAATATAAAAAATGCAAATAAATTTTCTGCAAACCACCAAAATTTTCTCATGGATCACCATTGGTGACCACTGATTTAAAGCATGGGATTTTAGTGAGGGTCACATCTCCCTAGAGCAGGAGTGTCAAACTCGATTTCATTGAAGGCTGCATCAGGGTTGTGTTTGACCTGGGATTGGGTGGGTGTGGCCAGCTCGATGTCACTCATGGCAGCGCCTGTGGTGGCCTGAGCACTCTTCCAGCAAAAACAGGCTCCCAAGCTCCATTTTTGGCTGCCACAGCCTCCTGCAACCCTCTTCCACTAAAAACCCTGTTTCCAGAGTGGCACCCCAGGCCAGATCTAAGTACTCCGTGGGCTGGATCCGCCGCCCGGGCGTTGAGTTTGACACCCCTGCCCTAGAAAGTTGCCAGATGCTACAAAAAAGGATCATAAAATGTATGCAAGCCCCAGAGTTAAGTTTTTACAGTGCTCTTCCTTTAACAAAGTGAAATATCTCAAGCAAAGCAGGAAGCAAATCCAGAGTCAGTTTTGAGAATGCTTTCATTTTAATGATTGTCCATCCACAACAGGAGCACAGTCAGAACGCCTCCAGCTTGCAGTATAAGGTTTGGTCTTACTCAGGTAAAGCAGGGGAAGCCGAACCTGAAGATGATGCTTAGCACACACTAAACCTGATAAAATGTCCAAACTGGCTCCAACTTTATCTGGGCAAACCTCAGAACAAAGCCCCAAGTGAGTCTTGGGAGATGACTAAACCTCTGGAGCTAGCCGTAACTCAAAACTATCTGCCAATCGCAGAAATTTTATTTATTATTCTGCTTTTGGTCATTAATTTACTTATTTAACTTTACTCATGCAAACTGTTTTAACAGATTGCAATCTCCCCATGTTGGAAATACAAATACTGGTAGTAGAAATAGCCTGGAACAACTATTTAGCCACTTATATCATCTTGGGAATGGAATACATTAGTACAACAATGCAACAGCAATCTGGAAGGTAAGGGAAAACCATTGCAGTATATTTTCCCAGGTTGAGGGGGGGGGGAAATAAACCTCAGTGGCTGAAATAGCACTAATGGTTGCCAACCTTTGGTAGGAGGCTGCACTGAAAGAACAAGATTTAATACTACAGTAACTATGAATTATTGTGTAGTCAGCTCAACAGCTCTTGTGGTTGACAGTCTTCAATTTCCAGCAGTCTCGATCATCTACCCTTTACATAATAGATACACCTCTGCCCAGAACCCTAATAATGATGAACAATGACTATAACAGTGTAGCATTATTATATTTAATAACATAAATGGCCATTTGCTTAGGTGGCTTCAGAAGACAATTGGACGACTCAAAAAATATACCGATTAAGGATGACATTTAATCCATCCTTTATCAAAGCCAGATTTTAGAAGACTAACACTTTACAGAAACACAGCAACAAAAGAGTATCTAGGGCCATGATGGTGAACCTATGACATACATGCCACAGGTAGCATGTGGAGCCATATTTGCCAGCACTCCAACCCTCAACCCCAGTGCGCATGCCAGCCAGCTGATTTTCAGCCTTTCAGAGGGGTGGGGAAGGCCGTTTTCGCCCTCCTGAGGCTCAGGAAAGCCTCCGGAGCCTGGAAAAGGTGAAAAACAGGCCCAACGCCCCAACCGGAACCCATTGGGCCTGTTTTTCACCCTCCCCTGGCTCCAGAGGCTTTCCTGAAGCTTGGGGAGGGCGAAAATGGCCTCCCCCAGCCCCCTGGAGGCTCTCCGGAAGGTGGAAACAAATCGTTTCCAAATTTCCATTTGACCCGTTGGGCTAGTTTTCCGCCCCCTAAAGGCTTCAGGAAAGCCTCTGGAGCCTGGAGAGGGTAAAAACTCCCCCCTCCGGCAGGAGTGGGTTCCTGTCAGTTCTAACCTCTTCTATAGAAGAGGTT